TAAACAATTAAAAATAAATTTTAAATATAACATAGAACTCCTAAGTTATTGATAAGAGCTATGATAAATTTTGGTATATCATTAGAAAAATCAATATGGTTACATGTTCGTAACGCGTATAACTAAAAATGATCTCATCATTGGTCTCTCACCATTTTCTCATCGTTTTCTCTAAACTAATCAAAGATGAAGCCAAAAACACACAAATATGACATCATATAAGCAATAATACAAAAAATAATAAGTGATCAATTTTAAACGAATATTTAATAAACAAACGAATCGAATATACGTACATCTGGTCAAATTCTAATCGTCAGCAAACTTAAATGTGTTAAATGAACTACCAAATCGAATATGACTAAAAAGTTATTTGAACAATTATCGAACTATTTGTTAATTATTTGGTTCAATTACATCCCTAGATGTGTTAGCATGCAATTTACATAATTTGGTGGACTACTTTTTAAATATTATAGATTTGAGGAACTAATATTAAAATAATTCTTATTTTTTTTTTGGACGCTACTCCTTAACAATAGGATAATCAATTAATAATTTAAAATTTTTACGATGGGTACATTAGTATCGATGACGGAACACATCCGTCACCAATAAACATTGGTGATAAACACGATCAACTATTAACGACGGAATGAATTGGCAACAGATCGTGTCCATCGCCAGTAGATATTGGCGACGGATCGTTTCCGTCGCCAATAGGTATTGCGACGGATCACGTCCTTTGCCAATACATATCGGACGGACACCATCCGTCCCATACTATTGGCAGACGAAACGATCCGACTCTAATATTTTCCGTCGCCCATAGTTATTGGCGACAGAATGCATTGGCGACGGATCGTGTCTGTCGCCAATAGGTATTGGCGACGGAACGTGTCCGTCGTCAATACCTATTGGCGACTGAAATGATCCGTCGCCAATGTTTTTCGTCGCTAATAGTTTTGGCGATGGAAAAACATTGATGACGGCCAAAATCCGTCGCTAATACAAACATTAGCGACGGGGTATTGGCGATGAGTTTATTTCCGTCACCAATATTTGTATTGGCGACGGATTTTGAATCCGTCGCCAATACCCCATCGCCAATGCTCTGTTTTCTACTAGTGGTTATTGGGTCTATAATGGTAGAAAGTCTTCTCATAGCTACAGTAAAATTGTATAATTTTATACTATTATAAAAGTGTGTTAGATGTTAAAACATTTCTTCTAAAAATACCCTCCGAACATACATGCATATATCTCTAGCAAATCCATACATTAAGATATATACAAACTTAATATTTCATAACCTCCCTAGTTATTACCATCAAATTTTCATTAACCACCCACTAATAATATTCCTCCACTAAGTCTTGACATTACACACTAATAATGATAAATATTACAACTATTCCTCTTCCATAAATCACTATAAATTACTATAGAATCTTAGCAAATTTCTCTAACAAAAATTCTAACTTTTAATCAAAATTTATTCAGATGCTTACAAACCACAAGAAGTGTGAGTCAATGATAACATCACTGGTGGAGTACAATCGAATTGAATGAGAATATGGTAATGGAAGCATCAGTGTAACAATTTAGAGTGCAGAGAAAAAATCAGTGAAGGCGACAAAGAAGGTGGTCCTGTATTTTATCAAAATCTGCAGCTGCTTCAGTCATAAACTAATTGGTTTTTTGCCCCTTCCATCTTCGTATATATTTTTACCTTAGCGTGTAAATTGGTTTCCAGCTCCTAGGCATGTTTGTGAATATACTAAATTGTTTGTATAGTCTGGTTGAATCTCTTAATATACTATGCTCATTCTCGAGATAAAGAAAGCTTTGTCCATGACAATGCATTATAAGTATAATTGCTTTCACTCTATATGTGTAAAGGGTTAATTTTCATTCTATAGTCACTAAGGTAATACATTATAAGTGTTGTGTACATGTGTTGCACGTAGGCACGCTTGTTGATCAATTTTTTAGAATTCTTTTGGTTCTATTAGGTTAGAAAGTGAATAGTTATTAAGATATTATAATAATTAATAAAAAATTAATATTTATTCAATGAAATAAGACTTAATCCATAAAGTCGTTAACTTTTTATTATTCTACTGTCTTCTTAACCACCCTTCATTAAGGAACTCATTCATGAAGGGTTACCCATTTCTCCGTTAACCATTTGTAAATTGCATTATTATAACAAATAGGAAAAATTATACAAATCTCTTCTATATCTTGAGTTGTACTAAATCCTCCTTAATATACTAACACTTAATACTGAAATGCAATTTTAGAGATATAAATTACAAGTATCAAATATAAATTGGGGGACTCTAATAGCTAATAATAAATTAGAGTAGGTTTAATAATTTCTAGAAAGATAATTTTAAAATGACATCCCTCTCTCTCATGTAAATGTACTAGAGCTTGCTGCTTTACAAGTAGTTTATATTTTATAATAGAAACATATGCAAGCTAATTTTCTATGTAGAGACTTATTGTTTCCAATAAAAATAACTTATTCATAACCTCCTACAAATATACTCATTTAACTTTATACATTAAGTCTCATTTCATTGAATAAATATTAATTCTTTATTAATTACTATAAATATCTTAATAACTATTCACTTTCTAACCTAATAGAACCAAAAAATAATTGATCAACAGGCATGCCTACGGTGCAAGCAGGTAGGCGACGCTAGTATATATAAATGAGGACAGGTACAAATCACAACTACTGAATAGTCCAGCCGGTATTTTTCCCCTTTCATAAAATCGAGCCTGTCACTTGGCCCACTTTTGATTTGCTGGAGTTTCACTTTTTTTAACCTTTAATTAAAAAATTATCTTCCTTATGACTCTTTAAACCTTTCATGTTTTGAAATTAAATTCCTCAAATCATGAAAATTGTTATTAAATCCTACAATTCTTAAATTAATTAGACATTGATCTCTCAAATGATTAACATTAATATTTGGACTCCTTAATTCTTAAAAACTTATTTTGAAATGATTCTCTTTAATAAAATATAGAAGCAATAACTAAAGAGATTAATTTAAAAAGAAATGTGAGAATTAGAGGATCTAACAATATTGCTATTAACTTAAGGGACTAATTTAAAAATAATTTTGGATTACGGTAACATAATAGCAAGTTCAATGGTCTCGAAGTCTACCTAATGAAAATAATTAATTTTTTATTTTAAGTAACAAACTCAAAGTTTATCCCTATTTTATCATGAAAATCTTGTACTTCGGTTTTTTATCTTCCAATATTAATGTTTTACAACTCTCATATTTTGAAATAAATACCTTAAATCATGAAAAGTGCTATTATGCCTGATTGACTCTAACCTAATTTGGAAGTTGACTCCTCAAATTATTAAAATTACAAAAAGTGCTATTATGCCTGATTGACTCTAACCTAATTTGGAAGTTGACTCCTCAAATTATTAAAATTACAACTGGATCCTTCAGTTTGTAATTTATTTTGAAATGAGTCCCTTTAATAAAGAGTAAAGTAATAATTGGAGTCATTAACTTGAAATGATTATGATAATTGTGAGACCTGATAACAAATTCAATTGAGGTGGGGGATTTATTTAAAAATAAGTATTTTAGATATATTACACCTCCCAACAATATTTTTATCCACAAATTAAAAAATTTCTAAACAAATTACTTAACAATTATTTTTTGACATCTTCACACAAATTCCTCGACAACACGCAGGTCAATTTTACTAGTTTGTATCTACTAAATTAATGGGTTTCACCGTAGCTATAAAAGACATTATCTGCAATGAAAATTGGCTTTCATCTATAGTACTATATATACTAATAATATATATATTAAATATATATATTACTATATATATTATAGTATACTATACTATATATATACGTATAATATATATATATACTACTATATATACGAAGAGAGTAGAGATGAGAGAGCAAGAAGAGAGAGAGAGCGGGAGGGAATGGGCTAATGCTTGGTACCAAAGGCAACAAAAAGTTATGGTTGGTAGTTAGAGTGGCACCCACATTAAATCCCCTCCACTCTCATTCTAAAATGATTATATCAATCTCTGGATGCACTCGCTCAACTCATGTGACAATGTGGTCCACCATTCTGATCATGAGTGGAGGGATATTATGTCAGCCCTCACATAACCAAAGTTGCACAAAATTTAAGCCTTCGGTACCCCAGAAAGGCATAAGCCGTATTTTTGATCTCACCCAACACACCGCCGTCTCTCAGCACACACAGCACGACCCACATAGTATATATACTATAGTATATATATTTATACTATTATAATATATATATATATATATATATTATACATATATAATATATATATATATATACTATATTCATATTATTATACCTTATATATATATACTATATATACTATATACTATATAAGTATACTACTATATATATATATTAGTCACACTATATGGGAATGATGGTATTGAAGGTGACAGTTTATTTTTGTTAAACTGAACTATACAATGAGATAGAATAGTGAGGTCCACTATCTTTTAAATATAACAGCAAGTACTGTCCACCATTAATGACTATGTCTCCCTTTAGTACTTTTCTATTTTAAAAATAAACCGTCTACCTCATAGTACATATGCCCGCCAGCACCCCCCTTACACCTATGTAGTATCACGCGGCACCACACACACACATGCGCACAACGACGGAGGCGAAACGTTAATACACCAAGCAATAGCCACGCGATCATCGCGCTTGCAGCGTGGTGTATATATATATATATATACTTCTTTATTACTAAAGGAGAACAATCAAAAAGTTGCTGATGAACAGTAACATATGGTTTTTTTCACAATGTTTCCGCTCATATTTGATTTACAGAAATAACTAACATCTAACCCACGTTTCACACAAACAACCCACGTTTTACAAAAATAACTAACATCTATCCCAATCTTTCTCCAAACCCCACAAACTGTTGCAGTTACTACCTCTTCATCCGCCGCCCCCTCCCGCTCCCTCATTTAACCGGAGCCTAGGCAATAGAAAATGCTTCTCCCTAGAAAAAGCCAGCTCCGAATTAATCCCCAGAAAGAAGTTCTCTTTCAAAAATAAACTGGCGCTAAAAAAGGATCCTGCGGAATTATTCAAACAGAGCGAAGAAAAACCCGAATCTGATGCGAATCTTCCGACAAAAGAAATTAAGAGTTCGCCGGGGATTAAAAGCAAGAAAGGTGCAGTTTTGGTTAAGAATTTTAGGGTTTTGGATGAAGGAAATGGGGAGTTTACGTTGTCTGATCTTTATTCATGTGAAGTTTACATAAAGGGGAGAATTCGGGCATTGTTTATTAATAGGGTTACGAACTGTAGAGGTAGTAATGTGGGCCGGTGCTTGGATCGATCATGATCGAAGAGGTGAGAGGATGTTTGTTTGTGTTGGCTTCTCATCAGATCAGGATTCGTCAAGCGAAGGAGAACGGGTAGATATGGTGAATGCTTCGGAACTAGAGGAGAATTTTGATGATTGTTAGTTCAGCATTGTTTTAGGACCAGGTATGCAATACAATGTTCCAAGTACTTCACCTTTGATATGAAGTTTTAAAGATTGTGCTTCGTGATGACATGAGTGTGTTTTTTTGTTTGAAATATTGCATTGTATATGCCAGGTCGTTATTCTCCTCATTTAACTCTGTGCCTACATTTTCTTTCCTTGCTTTTATTCTCAAATTATTATATTGTTATCTGTTCTTAGGATTGGAGCAGTGACGGTGATGATAACCATGGATCTGAAAGGGGAACCGATGAGGCAAAACCTGTCCCTCCCCTTAACTCCGCTACCGCTCCATTGAACGAGGTAGTAGAGCAAGTTCTATGCCTTTGAATTATGAGCGAATGCAATTACCCGCATTTAGTCAGTAATTATAAGTCTTAACTGCTCATTTTGGTTGTCGCATTGTGATGCGGATTGATGGTTTTGTTTGTTCGTTTGTTTGATTTAAGGATTGGGGCAGTGATAGCGATGAGATCATCGACTTGGACTGGGATGTCCATGAGGCAGTGCCATCAAGGGAGTTAGCAACTTGCATTTCAACTTACTTTCATTGCTATGTTAGGAGAAGTGAAATATTTTTATTAGTCATGCTATTCTCTTACTTGCATTAAGAGGTTGAAGATAAATTACAAAATATCTTTTTTAATATTTTTATTAGTCATGATATTGAATCAAACTTATTCGAATATCTGAACGAATAATACAAAAAAACAAATAGCACATCTATACTTCATATCTAAAGAAGAATACTTTATTTTGGTAACATGTTCAATATTTACAGAATTTTTTTTAGAAACCGTGCTTTGCACGGGTCTAAATATTAGTATATATATATATATGGTCCGTGTAAAGGAATCAAATGGTGATTGCTTCTTTTTACAAACTGGACATGTCATTTATTGATAATATAAAATAGTTTAATTAAAAAAAACTGAATAACAAGAGAGTTGCACATAATGACCGTCAACTATTTTAATTTGGAAACTCCCCGAAAGTTGGGTCTGTCATAGACAACCCCATTGAACTTTTTTAATTCCACACTCAAAAGGGTTTATTGGAATAAAAAAAATTCAAGAGGTCATTTATAATACCCTCAAAATCACGGGGTTCTGTGATATTAACCCTAAAATCTCATATTTACAAATGTACAAATATAATTTTATGACAGATGAGAAAGAACTAAAATTTGTTTAGAGCATTCTTATTTTATGCAACGGCAATGATTCGTACAACAACTTCACTAAACCTGGATTTTGTCACGTCCTAGACACAAGCCCATTAGTCGAATAATTATTTACTAATTAGCGACGTTAATTAACCTCCTCAAATTGCTAAACCACCTAACGAATTCCCTTTTTGCAAAGGAGCAAAAGGAGGAAGAAAACCACCAAATTCACTCCTTCAACGAAACTTACTCCAAGATCAATTATTATTTATTATATATTATACGATTAATGATGATAACCTTATATTTTGTGCGTTATCGGTCAGTGCTGCCGTCATACTTTGTAACTGTCTGAGCGGCTAGTATACGACCGAATCGGAGTGAATACGTTACTATTCAAATTAGAATTCGACTCAAATCCACATGTTCGAATTCGTGTTCATATTCGACTGGAATACTTAATGATCATTCGAATTCAACTCAACAAGTAATATTAGCATTTGGTAAGTATTCACGAATATTCGTTTAACAACTAATTCAAGTCAAAATCAAGAAAAATAAAAAAAATTTAAGCTTTATCTTACAATTTGTTGTTGAAAGGGTGGTATATTGGGGAGGTTGAGGACACGCCGGAGGGGGAATGAGAGCTTCGAGACTTGGGGGGAAGAGAGCATCGACAGCGGAAAAGATTGTCGGAGTCTGAGGGGACGATAATATTCGAGTGAAGAAGGAGACTATCGATGGTGAAAAAGAGTGTCGAAGACGAGAGTCGGAGACGAGTGATGGACGAACGGAGGGGCGGATCTCAAGGACGAGAGTCGGAGACG